ACCTCAGCCTCCCCCAGGCAGGGCCACTGGGCCACAGCCCCCACCCCCACAGCTTCCCCCAGCCCCGTGGGCTCAGGGACACTGTCTCTGTGCTGGCAGCACCTTGGTGGGCAGCCCACGTGAGCCTGTTTCTAGATTCTCCAAGCTGGCCTGTCCTCTAGACACTGGCCTCACCACAGTGGACACCCTGCAAAACAAATGAGGGCCCCAGGCCCTGCCTTGCAGGGTTTCAAAGCTCTGCCTCCCGGTGCATGCCCTGGGCATGCCCTGCCCTAGCTCGGGCCATGGAGTTCTACGAGAGTCAGGGTTCGGGCACTCCTGCCAGGCCACATGCAGTGAACTGCCCTGTGTAACATCACATGTGACCTACTACAGAACATGGCACTTCTCACACGTGGCCCAACTTCTGCCGTCAGGCTCAGCAATGCGTCACATCACAGGCTGTGACACAAGTGGTATAAGAGTCACATACACTGCACATTACACATGTGCCATCGTGTGAAGCTTGTCACATATCGTGTCATGCCATCAGTCACGTCCACCCAGATTTTCAGTGTATGTGACACACGGATGTTCCTGAGGCCTGTGTGAGTGTCGGCGTCCACAGGAGGAGGGTGAGAGTGGGTGTGGCACGGCCTCCTGACTGGGCCACAAACCCTCCCCATGGAGGAGTCTCGCACACCGCCCTCCACTCAACTCTGCACCCCCCAGGCAAGCCTCCTGTGCTTGGGGGGCAGATGGAATGTTCTAGAACTCGCTGATGGTCAGTCAGCAGGCTACGAGTTCGGCCACGAAAGGTCGGTCCGGTCAGGCCCACAGAACAAGTCCACAGACCAAGCCCACCCGCCGTCCCACTGTTCCTGCCTACAGTCCACTGAGTACACCACAGGCCACACGTGCTGACATCCCGCGACAGAGGCCCGCGACTAACCCCGCCCACAACCCGGCAAGTCCCGCCCACAACACATACCCAGGGCTGACCCCGCCTACAGTCCCACTGCTAACCCCACCCACAGCCCCGCAGGCCCCGCCCACAACACAGCCTCACTGCTACCCCGCCCACAATCCCGCAATCCCCGCCCACAACACACGCCCAGGGCTAACCCTGCCCACAACCCACAAGCCTCACCCACAACACAAGCCCACGGCTAGGCCCTGCCCCACAAGCCCACAAACCCCGCCCACAAGCCCGGAGGCCCCGCCCACAACAGAGCCTCACTGCCACCCCGCCCACGACCCCGCAAGCCCCGCCCACAGCCCAGCAGGCCCCGCCCACAACACAGGCCCAGCTTCAGGAGGCGGCGCTGGGCCCCGTGACCTCTCAGCCCGGGACTCCCCACGGGCCTTGCAAAACTCCTGGGTCCCGGGTGGTCCCAGGCGCAGCTCACCCACAGCGCCCGACAGCTGCCGCGTGTCCACCGTCCGCCCCCGTGCTGCGCAGCTCGGGGTCCGGGGGGCTGCAGGGGGCCTAGGCCAGGGAGACTCCTGCGTCCTCCCGCAGGGCCGGCCAGCGTCCCCACCGCTGCGACCCGCGACCCGCGAGAGGGAAGCTGCGGAGCCCGGCGTGACAGATCTGGTGGCCCCTGAAGGCAGGGCGGGTCACAAGTCAAAGATCGATCAATCAATGAGCCAGTGGATTAGCAGCGCCTCAGGAGCGGGAGAAATCAGCGCCCAAATGCTGGGCTCGCCCTGCGCTCCAGTCCCGGCACTTTTAGGAAGTAAATAATGAAAAATCAATCGGAAGAAAAAACAGGCCGGGAGCCCTGGGCCTGGCGAGCGACACATTTATTGCTGGGCCCCATTTCTCGGCTGCCCCGGAAACTTCTGGAGGGTTATTTACTTTCCGCACCTTCCCCGATCGATGTTTTTAATTTGGATCCGAGTTATTATTTTTCACATCACAGCAGCGGGAGTGGAGCAAAGTGGCTCATATTTCAGTGCTAAAAAGATCGATACGACAGCTTCACCTTCACGGCCGCCCCGCCACCACGCAGTCCCACAGGGCGAGCCGCGGCAAGCACTGCACGGCGATGAGCACTCCGGGCGCGCCTCCAGGCCCATCTGGAGTCCTCCCGCAGCAGGTCGCCGGGGAGGACGGGCCGCCGGGCCTTTCCTGGGGACACGCCACCAAGCCCTGAGGGCTGCAGCACAGCCCACCAACCTCCCTGACCCTCTGGAACCTTCAGGGCACAGAGGAGCAGGAAGGGGCGGGACACCTGTCACCCACACCACCTGCAGCAGGTGTCCAGGTCAGGGCTCATGGGAAACTAGAGTCCAGCGCCAGTGTGTCTCCAAGAAGACAGGGGGCAAGACTGTGTGGGTCCAGGATGAGGGGGAGTGTGGGGTCAGGGATAAAGGAGTTTGGGGGGTAGGGATGAGGGAGTGAGGGGGTAGGGATGAGGGAGTGAGGGGGCAGGGATGAGGGAGTGCGGGCAGGGATGAGGGAGTGCGGGGTCCCTCTGTGGTTGTGCTGTCGTCTCCTGACCGCGCCATCAAGGAGAGCCAGCGGGCACTCGCACCCGTGGCAGAGCAGAGCGCAGCTGTCCCTCTGCAGCCCCTCAGGTCCTGTCCCACACAGCTCCTGGCATGGCCTGGCACGGGCCAGGGTCACGGGGTCACACTCTGGACAGACCGCTCTGCCCTGCTGTGAGGGCCGGGGACAGGGCACCCTTGTGGCTGCATCACCCGGTCACCGCCCACCCGCCCTTAGGCATCGCCCTGGCCTGCAGGACCTACCAGGCCAGCCCTGCCGACCACTGCCCCTGGGCTGGCAGCACCGGGACCCGCACCCAGACCCGCAGCAGGGCAGTGCCACCGGCAGCCACGTCCCCGGGCACCAGGGCACTTGGGCCACCTGACCCACCAGGGGCCAGGCACGGTTCCAGGGCCATCGGTCTGGGACCAGGCAAGCAGGCCTTAGGGTGCAGGAAGGTTCTGGAGCCTCAGCGCCCAGCTCTGCGCAGACGCTGCTTTGGCGCCATCTTCTGGGAGAGATGCAAACCTGCACCTCCTCCTGCCCAGCTCGGGCCCCGCCCCCACCGGGCCCAAGCGGGTGGAGGCCAAGTGCCCCTCCGCCAGCAACACCCCTGCCCATAAGGCCCGTGGTCGCCGGGGGGCCCCCTCCGAGTCCCTGCCAGGAGCTGCCGCGGGTCCAAGCTCTTTCTGGGAACAGGTCACTATTGTGGGATCCTATTAAGGCCCGTGACAGCATTTATGTACAAGATAAATTCATTTCAATTTCCTCTCTCAATTAACGGCCTATTATTCGAACCACCGTCAGCTGAAAATGCCGCTCTGAGGCCATTCATCTTCGAAAAGTTACAAGTCGCTCCCTCTGAGGGCCAGCAGCCACCTGGCTGGGGGGTTCCCGGCGGGGCACGACGGCCAGGCAACGGACGCCCCACCTGCGTGGAAGGGGGCCGAGTCCGTCCCCACGTGGCCAGGGGTCAGGGCTTGCTCTGAAAAGCCAGCACGAAGGTCAGCCGGCAGTGTCCAGCCTCACAGCACCCGGAGCGCTGGACGCCGGCCCCGGCGGAACACGGGGAGCACTGTGCGCTGTGCACGTGAGCGAGCTGCAGTGTCCGTGTGGATGCGAGTGCAGACGCGTGTGCGGTACATGCAGGAAGCATGCACGGCACACATGCCGTGTTACGCTGTGGCGCGCAGTGCAGGAAGGGGGCAGCGCGGCCGGTGTGGGCACGCCCGTGTGGAGTGAGCGCGTGCAGGTGTGAGTGGACGTCTGCGTGAGGATCGTCAGGGGCGGCCTGAGGGCGAGCCTCCCCTGCAGCTGAGCGCGTGTGAGGGCACTGCAGCCTGGGAGGGGCTGTGTGAGCGGGAGCCTTCGAGGACACCGCCGGGCCGGGAGGCACAGCTGCCCACGGCCCCCGGGCCCCACGGTCTGTTTACCTCACGTCCTGCTGACCCCACAGCCTGCTGACCTCCCGGCCCCGCTGCCCAGGGCCCGCTGACCCCATGGCCCGATGACCTCACGGTCCGTTGACCTCCAGGCCCTGCTGACCCCATGGCGCGCTGACCTCATGGTCCGCTGACCTCCTGGCTCCACTGCCCATGGCCCGCTGACCCCATGGTCTACTGACCTCCAGGCCCTGCTGACCCCATGACCTGCTGACTTCATGGTCCACTGACCTCACGGCCCAAATGCCCATGGCCCGCTGACCTCATGGTCCATTGACCTCACGGCCCAGATGCCGGTGGCCCACTGACCCCACAGCCTGCTGAACTCCAGGCCCCGCTGCCCATGGCCTGCTGATCCCATGGTCTGTTGACCTCCAGACCCCGCTGACCCCATGGCCCGCTGACCCCATGGCCCAATGACCTCATGGTCTGCTGACCTCACGGCTCAGATGCCCATGGCCACCTAACCCCACAGCCCACTGCCCCATGGCCCACTGACCCCACTGCCTGCTGACCCCATGCCTCCTGGCTTTTGGAGGCAGCGTGCCGCCCCCTCCTGTGAGCTCCCAGCTGTTTCCTCTCCCCCGAGTGCCCGTGTCTCTCCCGCTCTGATCCGCCTTGGTTGGTACTCAGGCACTGGGCAGCGGGGGCCAGGGAGCGCCACCAGGACTCGGTCCCAGGGGTCTCTTGGCACCGAGCAGGTCACGGTCAGGTGGGCCTGGGCCCCCGCTGTCCCCACAGGGGCTGGGAGGTGGCGCCCAAGGGAGTCCGCAGCTGCCACACACAGCCTTGCCCCATGCACATGCCGCACCTGCCATGTGGCCCAAGAGACCTGCCCCCTCCCGTGGCCACGGCCCTGCCCCTCATCTCCACTCTGGCTGTGATGCCCAGGAGGAGGGCTGGCCCTGTGGCCCGGGGTGGGCAGCAGAGACCCTCGGGCCAAGGGCACGCGGCAGGGACCACCACCACCGCGGCTGTGTGAGGCTCGCCACAGCCCTGCCGTCCTGCCCACCTCCCTGTCTGGCTCCCCAGCCCCCCCACGGCCTGAGCTTTGGGGGCCACTGGGCCCTGGCAGGGGTACTCACCGTGAAGTGCTCCTGGGACTTGTAGTTCTCGTCCAGGTAGACGCGGGCCCTGTTGTACTCCTTCATGGCGTCACTCGACAGCAGCTCTCTGCAAGCAAGCGGCGGGCGGTGGACGGACGCCACAGGGAAGGGTGCCAGGGACACGGGGCGGCAGCGGGCGGCCCTGTTAGCCTGGCCAGACGCGTCTACGGCACCAGCACCTCAAGAGCAGGACGGGGGCAGGGACGGGGAAGGGGAGGGGGCTCGGCTGAGGACGGGGACACGGTGGGGACGGGGCTCGGGGCAGACACAGGAGGCCCGTCCACCTGCCTGCGTGGCTGTGAGGGTGTGGGAGGGGCCACCGCAGACGGGCACTGTGAGCTGATGAGCACTTCGGGGCCAGCAGGGGCAGGGGATGGCGGGCCCACGGCAGAGGCCGGGAGGCCGTCACGGTGGGGGGAGGGGCGGCAGGGAGGAGACGCGGTAACTGCAGGCCGGACACAGGGACAGGCCTAGCCGCCGCCTGCAGGCAGTCCCCGGCATGGGAGGACCCGAGGGGACCCCTAAGGGGCGCTGTGCTGGGAGGGGCCAGGAGCAGAAGGACCGAGCTCAGGTGCACGGCGGACCCGGGCCACGCACACACGTGCGGGGCATTTCGGGACCAGTCTCTGCAGCACCGAGGCCGCGCCGGCTGTGACCCCGGAACTCGCCGTGACCCCTGCACCCACCTGCGACCCTGCACCTGCCCGTGCCCTGTGAATGCTGCGCCCACCCGCGACTCCTTCCCCTCGGTGACCCCTGCGCCCGCCCTGACCCCGCCCCCACGGCGAGCCCTTGGCTGTCCCTGAGCTCCAGCCGCCGCCAGCATGCAGGAGGCGCCAGCAGGGACTCACTTGACGAACTTGTCCACGTGGGCCATGGACGCCTCATAGTTCTTCCCTCCAAACTCCTGGCAGTGCAGCGCCAGGAAATGGGGCGTGTGCGCGTGCACCACCTGCAGAGGCACAGGGCGGGGGCGGGGTCACGGGGGTCTCGGGGGGCAGGGCATGGGGTGGGGGTCAGGGTGAGGACAGGTGAGGTCAGGCAGGGCTCAGGGAAGTCCTGAGAGGGGTCAGGTGAGGTCCAGGCAGAGGTCAGGGGACAAGGGAGGAGCTCCCGGTGGGCGCCAACAGGCTGAGGCTCTCTCTGGAGCACAGCGGGGAGGGCCCCGGGCCCCCCTGTAGGCAGTCACAGGGCTCCCCTGTGCGCTCATGCCAGGGGAGGCCTCTGGGGGGCAGCACTGAGCCAGCGAGGGGCGGCACAGCTGTGACAGGTCTGAGTGCCGGCAACATGCAGAGGCTCCCGGCTGCCCACCCGGTGCCAAACCCCACAGGGCTCCCTCCCTGAGGGCAGGACGCCTCACCGGGGACCCTCGGGGCCGGGGACCCGCATGGGATGCACGCCAAGTGGTGGGGGATGCCCGAGGGGGGACAGGTATTCTGTGGGGACAGGCCGTCTACTTCCGAGGGGCAAGGTGGGTGCACCTGGGGCCAGGGCAGGGTCCGGGCGTGGACCCGGCGGGTGCGGGTCTGGATGTCCCCGAGCGCTCCTTCTAGAAGGGCCGTGCCAACCACCTGCCTGGCTGACCCAGACCACCAGGCGTGACCGCCGGGCCCCAGAGCAAATTGAGAAGGGCTCCTGGCGGCCCACTCGGCAGCACAGTGTGGAGCTCACGGGGCCACACAGGGAAGGTCCCAGGACGTCCTGGGGCTCGGGCTCGGCTGCACCCCCACCGGGGAGACGACCAGGTACCCAGAGCCCCCGTGGGGGCCACACCCCTGTGTGGGGCTGCGGGAGCTGGGGGCAGGGCACCGCTCGGCGGAGGACACTGGCTGCGGGTCCTGCCCACCGCAGCCACCTGACGGCTCTCTCCGGCGCTGCTGCCGTCCTCGGCGCCCCTCCACGTGGCAGGGCTGGGCTTCGGGCAGAGCCCTGCAGTGCCCGCCGGACCCTGGTCTGCGAGCAGAGGCCTGTGCAGGCTCCTGCCTCCCCGAGGGCACCCCCCCCCCCATCCTCTCCAAGCCCTGCAGGCGCCGGCAGACACTCAGGGCCAAACCGCTCCCGGAGGCCAATCAGTGCACAGGAGAAACGGCCACAGAAGCGCTCCCTTGCTCAGAGGAAGGCTCCAGAGGTCTCGGAAAAGAAGAACAAGGGATCCTGGCTGGAAGATCACAGGCAGGACGGCTCCCGCTCGCAGGCGCCCCGCGCCGGGCTCCCTGCCCGCCAGTGGCCGCCCAGCCCACCAGAGCGCTGGTAAAAATAGCCTGGCCGGCCTCAGCAGGGGCCGCTGCATGACCGAAAAAGGACAGTGTTGGCCGGAGGGGGAAGACGGGGGGCGGTGCCGGCTGCACAGGGGGAGGGCGGGAGGCGCCTGCTGCCAGGGCCGGGGAGAGGCGGGCGACAGGGCTGGGCCCCGGACCCTCAGCCGCACCCCCAGTCCATGGGCAGGACTGATACACCAGACTCCTGGGCTTGCCCCCGAGCGTCACCCCGGACCACCCCTGCCCCGCAGCCAAAGGTGGCTGGCACGAGAGGCCGGAAGAGGTAGGGGACAGCAGCACCCCAGGAGCTACACGGACGGGGCCCAGAATGTCCCGTCTACACGGACGGGGCCCAGAATGTCGCGTCTATATGGACAGGGCCCAGAATCCTGTCTACACTGACGGGGTCCGGAATGTCCCGTCTACACTGATGGGGTCCAGAATGTTGCCTGTCTACACTGATGGGGCCCAGAATCCTGTCTACATTGACAGGGTCCAGAATGTCCCGTCTACATGGACGGGGCCCAGAATCCTGTCTACACTGACAGGATCCAGACTGTCACCTGTCTACACTGACGGGGCCCAGAATCCTGTCTACTCTGACAGGGTCCGGAATGTCCTATCTACATGAATGGGGCACAGAATCCTGTCTACATTGACAGAGTCCAGAATGTCACCTGTCTACACTGATGGGGTCCAGAATCCTGTCTACACTGACAGGGTCCAGAATCCTGTCTACACTGACAGGGTCCAGAATGTCACCTGTCTATACTGACGGGGTCCAGAATCCTGTCTACACTGACAGGGTCCAGAATTCCATCTACAATGACAGGGTCCAGAATGTCCCGTCTACATGGACGGGGCCCAGAATCTTGTCTACACTGACAGAGTCCAGAATGTCCCCTGTCTACACTGACAGGGTCCAGAATCCTGTCTACACTGACAGGGTCCAGAATGTCCCCTGTCTACACTGGTGGGGTCCAGAATTCCCTATCTACACTGATGGGACACAGAATCTCCCCCTGGTCTACACTGGCAGACATAATCACCTCCATGTCTATACCGGCAGGCTTCATCAATCCACATCTACACTGATGGGACCCAGTACACTGGGTCTACAACTCTGTCTACACTGACAGGACCCGACTCCAGACCTCAAGGGCCCAGGGCCTGACACACAGGCCTCTGGGACGTCCCCCTCCACACAGGGGTCTGAGCAGGCCTGGAACCCCCCAGCCCCAGCAGACCCCCCAGCACAGGTGCCCAGAGAGGCCAGAGGGCCCAGCGCAGGGCCCGAGAAGAGGGCGTGAGGGTCACAGGACAGATCTCGGCACCATCCCCTGGGTCTCAGGTGCTACCCCAGACTTGCCCTCCTGTCGCCCAAGTATCCTGACGTCACCCAACACTGCGGCCAGGCACCCCCCGCGCCTCACGCCCGTAGGACATTGCCGTGGGCTGGGCGGGGGGGTGCACGCCAGGATCAAACCCGGAGCCTTGCCCCCGCTCCCCACCCCGAGCCACACGGGCGTCCCCAGACCAGACTAGGAGGAGCCAAGAGATTCCAATCGGACCAGAGGGAAGGAAACAGTGCTCGGAGGGTTCTGGGGCCTTGGTGTGCTGTCACCCCGGGGAGGGGCCCCGAGAGGGCTGAGGGTCCCTTGGGAAGGGTCTCCAGGTAGGATTTATGTTCCATTGACTGACCCCTGCACTGACCGCGAGGGCCAGGTTCCCTGCACTGACCATGTGGCCACTAGCTGTCCAGACCCTGAGAGCAGCAGGGGCGGCTGTCTATTCTGAGCCCTGAGCCCCACACCCCGTGGAGGATGGACACTGTCCACGGTACCCACCTGCGGGCCATGCCTCCAGCCTGTGGCCGTCACACACCTACTTGGGGTCATGTGTCCTGACACACAGGGACACACTCGCACATCTACTGCAGGGCTGACTGCACAGCCACGGCTCCACCGGCCAGCCGGAGCCCTGCCCTCCCTCCCACCACTCACTGGACGGAGCCTCTCTGGCTGGCCACTCTCCCAAAGGGGAGCAGGGCCGGCAGAGTGACGTGACGACCCCGGCCACTGCCACTGCCCCTCACTGGCCCTGGTGGCCTGGCCAGCCCCGGTCCTGCTCTCCGGACTCTGGGCTGCGGCCACCCTGGTTCCTGTACTCCAGCCACCCAAGTGTCCAGCTGTGGCCAGCAGGCCCCGTTCGCATGCGCAGAGGCCCCGGGCCGCCCTGCGCAGGCCCCCTGGACCCAGCCAAGTGCAGACGCTGGCCAGGGACAGCCCCGCACACGCCCACCGCTTGCCGGCCAGGGCCCTACTCCCAACCCCGCCCACCAGGCCCGCATGTAGGCTCAGTGCCTTTGGTGTGTCCCAGGCTCCAGAGAGCCCTGGACAGGGCAGCACCCTCGGGGTCATGCGGCCTCGCTGCAGGCCCCTCACCTGGTAAAACTCCCGAAGCCAGTTCTTCTGCAGGTTCTCGGGCTGCAAGGGGGAGAAGGACAGTCAGACAGTCAGACAGGTAGCCCAAACCGCCCTCCCCCCGGCACTGACAGGACCGCGGCCACCTGGGCTGGCTCATGCAGGACATGCTCCCGGGAGACAGGCGGCTGGTGGGGGCACCGAGTGGGCAGCCTGGCAGGGGAGGGGGTCCAGAGGGGCTTCCTCCAAAGCGGCCCCCCACGGGCCCTAACAAGCAGGGGGCAGCCACCGAGTGGCAGACAAGGGTGCACGCCGGACCCCACTCAGTCGTGTGAGCAGAGGGCCTGGTCAATGCAGGGACAGCTGCTGGGCACGGGGGCCACACAGCATTGGGACTCCCCCCGCCCCAGCACCCCCAGTGCGGCCCCTGTAAATGAAGAGGGTCCCCGAGTATCAGAAGACCCCAGGACGCCGCTGAGGCTGAACCACAGGCCTTGCCCAACCAGGCGCCCCCACAGAAAGGCAGAAGGCACAACCCCCAGGGCTGGAGCAATAGCACAGCAGGGAGGGCGTTTGCCTTGCACATGGCCAACCCGGGTTCGATTCCCAGCATCCCATATGGTCCCCTGAGCACTGCCAGGGGTGATTCCTGAGTGCAGAGCCAGGAGTAACCTCTGTGCATCTCTGGGTATGACCCAAAAAGCAAAAAAAAAAAAATTAATTAAATTAAATTAAATTAAAAAAAAAGGCACAACCCCCCCATAGCACCTACGCAGCCGAGCAGGTCTGCAGCTCACCAGAGCAGCGACTCCTGGGGGTGGGAAGGACAGGCTAGAGGGTCCGTTCCGGGGGGGCTGGCTTGGAGCCTGTGTCTCGTGTCCTCCCTCCAGAACCAGAGGTGGCCGAGAGACCCCAGCAGCAGTGACTTGGCACGGGGTCGGAACAGGGTGCCGTGCTGTGGGCAGGAAGGCCGAGACACCCCCAGGCTCCCCTCCCTCCCCAGAGGGCAGTGTGGCAGAGAGAGGAAGCTACAGCCTTCAGCTCCAGATCTGTGTCCTGCCACCCACGGGGTCCCCACCCCAGCACGGACCACGTCCCACCATGGACCTCAGTCCACCATGGACCACACTCCAGCACTGACCATGCCCCACCACGGACCACACCCCACCACGGAACACCCCCCCTCCATGGCCCACGCCCCACCACGGGGAGACAGTGCAAGGGGAGGCACTTGTCTTGCGTAAGGCTGACCCCACTCAATCCTGAGGTCCTCCAGGAGTGACCGCTAACTACAGAGCCAGGAACCCCTGAGCACTGCCGGGAGTGTCCCCTAAGCTCAGGGCCAGGAGGAAGTCCAAAGCATCACCAGGCTGTCCCCTAAGCACCAAACAATCCAGGCACTGCAAATGGGGACGGCCGGACACTGCAGGTGGGGACGGCCGGACATGGCTGGTGGCAACGGCTGGACACTGTGGGTGGGAACGGCTGGACACTGCAGGTGGTACAGCCCAAACCAGTAGAGTCGGATACAGTCAATGGTCAATACCACTGCAGACAGGTGTGCGTGGGCCAAGCCACTGTGAAGGTCTGATTAGTGCAGTAAATCTGTCACCAGAAACAGAAGAAACCGGAGGAACAGGACGGAGGTGATGGCACCCGCCTTCTCACACACAGTGAACCCCGGAGCACCGCCAGGAGTGACACAGAAGTAAAGCATCAAGAATGAGCCCCGAGCACTGAGCCAGGAGGGATCCCCGAGCACAGAGCCAGGGGTGATTCGCGAGCACTGAGCCCGAAGTGGGCCTTGAGCATCACCGTGGGGTGCCCAAACCCCCACAGAGAGAAGACGAGGGGCGAGGACGTGCCCAGCGCGTGAGCAGTGTCCAGGCCAGCTCCACGCTCGGCCAGCAGCAGCCTCCCGGGCTCCCGGGCCCTCGCAGAAGGCAAAACGGCTCAGGTGTGGCTGAGGCCGCGAGCACTCGCTCCTGCACACGTGCGGTGCTCCCTCTGGAGCTGGTGCCAGAGCAGCCTTGGGCGCAGTGACGTGCTCTGCGCCGCCTCCCGCGTGCCATCCCGGCTCGGACTCGTGGGAGTGCGAGCGGCCAGCGCCTGGCGGGCGAGAGAAAGTTCTGGGGCCAGATGGCCTCACGCCAGCCCCATGGCAGCGAAGCGGCCTGGGCCGGCCCTGTCCACCCGAGCAGTGTGGCGGACACAGGGCGCAGCCTCGGCCCAGCTGGTCTCTGAGGAGCAGCAGCGCCCGGGGGGGTGAGACTTTACAAGATGCCACAGACACGACACTTGGGGCCCCGCGGTCCCCAGCAGAGGCCTTCAGCAGAGCCAGGGTTCTAGAGCACACGGAGGAGCTGAGAGGGACCCCGTGGGAAGCGCCACCAACCCGGTCCCGGAGGGGCCAGAAGAGAGCCCGGGACACACTCCACACACAGCCGTCTGGCTCCGGGTCCAGGCATGAGCCGCACCAGCAGTGGGTGTGGCCCCAAACCAAAGCCAGACGACGCCGACTTCCGGAACTCCCTAACAGAGCGGTGGATTCAAGGCCACCGTTACCTCTGTGTGCTCTTCTGGATTCTAACTCGGCTTTAATCGACCACACTGTGCTCACATTTTCGGCTGAACTAGCTTGGAAAGCTGAAGAGAAAACAGTGAAAGCTTCAGTCACCGCGCAGCGTGTCAACAGCACCCAGCCGCCGAGAGCACCAGAGCAGTGAGGACCTTCCAGTTGTTCTGCCCCGAACACCACACGCCAGGCACGCACCACACGCCACCCAACACACACTCCTCACGTGCCACACACCACACGCTATCCACAGTCCACATGGGTCCTGCACGAACCACACGGCACAGGTGAAACACAGACCACGCCACACACACGCTACCCACACTACACGCCTTTAGCCACAGCCACAACACGGAGTTCGCAGGAAGGAGAAAGGGGGTCTACGTCGCTGCGGTGAGTACACCAGGACTCACAGAGGCAGCGGGTGACAGGCGAGCGGAGACGGGCAACACCGGCGAGACAGACGCCCTGGGAGGGTCCACAGGAGACGCTGGGAACAAACCTCCACAGAAGCGGCCTGAGGGAGGCTCAGGCAGAAATGAGAGCACTGTCCCAGGAGCAAGAGCTCCAGCGCGACCTCAGAAGACGCACACACAGACAGACAGACAGACAGACGAGGGCAGAGAGGAGAGCAGAAAACTCTCAGGATCAAACAAGGGCTGAGAGGGTCTCACAATCAGCGACAGGTGCCAAGCCCGGATCCCAACGGCTCGGAGAAAGCCAGGCGGGCTGCACACAGGAGAAGCATTCATTGATGGCAGTCAAAACGCAGAAAATCAAAAAACCAGGAGAAAACCTTAAAGGAGAAACAACACGCCCACCCCACTGAGGGACCAGACGCGCACACGCAGGAGCAGGAGGCAAAGAGAAGAGCGAGCCAGCCGCCGGGGCCGGGCCCCGTCTGGAGGCCAGAGAGAAACGAACGTCCCGGCAGAAGCGGCAGAGGCTGAGCCTGCCAGCCGCAGGGGAGGAGGGGGGTCAGTGCCAGGGGCGCAGGAGGGCATCTGCGCCCCGTTCCGGGACCTCATCTCCCAGGGGGGCCTGGTGCTAAGAGGAGACATCGGGCCCCTGGACAGGACACCCTGAGGCTGACCAGAAGCGAGTCTGCAGAGAATTCGTCGCCCAAACCAGTCAGCCCACCCCAGCGACTGGCTGTGGAGCAGCGCGGACAGAGACACGGACGGAGACGCTGTCGGAGACGGGGCAGAGACGGAGCCGAGACGGGGAGGCAGAGTCCAGCCCGCTACAGCCTGAGCGTGAGCAGATGCTCTGGAGAGGAGAGCCACAGAGAGGCAGAGACTTAGGGTCACTGAAGCCCACCACACAGGGGGATGTGCAGGGGGCCGGGCCGAGCCTGGGAGAGCCGCACCCTGCTGCAGGCGCGCCCCAGGCCACGAAAGTCACACACCTGCACTACCAGGTCCCATTGGGTCTCACACTCCCAGGAGGGACCACATCCAGCCCTGGCCACTACGGGCAGCGGTGAGTGTTCCTGTGTGGGTAAACACCCTCCACACCTGTCACAGACCTGACCCAGCCTCACTCGGAACAGACCGGCAGCACCTCTCACTTTCCAGCCGGGTCTTGGTGCACACCTGGTCATCGGGGAGCCACCAAGGGCCAGAGCTCTGAGGGACTCACTGTAGACCAACAGGATCACTCTAGTGTACAGGACATACTGTAGACCACCAGGATCACCCGAGTGTCTGGGACACACTGCAGACCAACAGGATCTCCCCAGTGTCTGGGGACTCACTCTAGACAAATATGATTTCTTGGTTAATAGCAACCCTCGACGGTCCCAGAATAGACACAGTTCAGAAATACCACATCCCCAGGTGCCCGGGACCGTGAGCTCAGCACAGTAACGTTCAGTGTGGTAGCCTGGTAGGCATAATCCCACTGGCCACAGTGCCACCCTCAGTCTGAGGCACACAGGGACAGGCGGCCAGAGGAAAGCAACCTGACAGCCCCATGCCACAGTGCAAACAAACAGCTGCTCAGAGGAGCCGCGGCAGGGAGAAATCCCTGCTCCCGGGCAAAGAAAGAACCAAGTCCCAAGGAAGGAAACCACGGAGGCAGTGTCAGATGTGACTGGGAGGCACGTCCTGTGTCCTGGGGTCACACGGGGTCAGTCCTCAGGCCCTGCTGCCAGCCTCGATTCAAAGTCCAGAGAAAGAGAAGCCAGAGAAAGAGAAGTGGCGAGGGAGAGACAGACGGCGGCAGGGGAGCCACCAGGCCCAGCAGCGGAGGGAGAGTCTGAGAGGCGGAAAGACACAGCCCTGGGAGCCGGAAGCAGGACGGACCCCAGACTGGGCGGCAGTGCAGGCCAAGACTGGCCACCTCCTCCCTCCGGGGTCCCAGCTCTGACCCCAGCCCAGCTGCCCAGGGATCCCTAGGGCCGCAGACCCACCCAACGGCTGTCCAGGTCAGCACAGGGGGTGGCCCCCAAGGCAGAATGGGCACTGAGGGGGGGAACCCTTTCCCA